GACGTATTCTTGGTAATCACAGGGATTCTAGAATGATCTAGGTTCAGTATTCAGGTTTCTAGCCTACAGTGAGACACTTTTGCTAATTATTTGCTTTTCATTATCTGTCTTAACTGAGAAACTTCCTATCTATAAATGAATATAATCTTTTTTCTAATATTCCACTGCAGTTAGGCAATATGTCGGAAGTTAATAATTTCACCTCCTCTCACAGACTTTTAGGCCTCATTTCATCAGAGGAGAAATCAAAGTTTGTCGGTTAATTTTGTTCACCTACCATAAAGAGTGCTATGTCTAAGTTTGTCTAAGGCAAATCTGCTATTCACTGAATTCGTGAGATGTTTTCATCTGCAATTTAATGTTTGTCTTATTATTCAAGAAAATTTAATTTACAAGGGGTCCTCGGGTTACAACGTTTCGACATACGATGTTTTGAATTTTTAAAAATTGAGTTGTGAGTGTTCTTAGGTGCAGGTGAGTGCAGCCATTTCCTGATTTTTCTTATCCTCTTTACTAAATGACATTTCTCTCTCTTAGTTTCTCTCTCCTGCTCTCTTTCTCTATAAAAATCACATTTTCTTTACTGCTACTTTTAAGCCAAATTGTTTTTGAAAGAAACAGAAGATATATACCCTCTGAGGAAAGTGCTTCCTATATTTGAATATTCATAAGAGCATGTGACTTTACGTATTTCCTGTAAGGAAGAACAAGTCGAAGCTTCTCGATCAATTCATCTGGATTCATCTGGATCTTCCTGGATTGTCTATGTGACTACGAAAACTAGTCAGAAAGTCTTTCAACGCCTGAGACGGTAATATATTATTTAAAAATAGATTAAATCAAATGTGCTTGTATTTAAGTATTTTTATAAGGATGCCAGAGTGTTTGTACTAATTTTGTTTGTTTAATGGATATTCTGTGCCGTATTCTTGGTAATCACAGGAATTTTACAATGATCTAGATTCAGTATTCAAGTTTCTAGCCTATAGTCAGACACTTTTGCTAACTATTTGCTTTTCATTATCTGTCCTAACTTGAGTGTTTTGGCTTATGCCGTTAGCATAATACTTACAGACTACGTGGGCGAACTAGTTTGGTTGCGTGCGGTGGAAAAATACACAGTAATGCGGTGTATGAGTGAGGGAGTTGGCGTCCCTCAGTACGCTTACCTATGCCATTTTGGACTGTTAAAAGCACAAGTGTTCCTTTTGTGAAGAGGAAAGCCATCATGATGGAAGTGAAATTACACATTGTAAAGAGATCAGAACAAGGGTGTGTTTTGACTTACACCAAAATTAGGGTTACATCACTGTCATAGGAACGGAACTGTGTTGTAACCCGAGGACCCCCGTATTGACATTTTAAGTTATACTTGTATCACCATCCCACTAAATGTACCATTGTAAAACATGTCTGAATGCTTTTAAATATTGTTCTATCTGCATTGTAATTTTCCTTTTCTTAATATAATTTAGACTTCTTTTGTCACAGATAACAACACAATGGCCTTCAATCAGAATTTCCACAGGAAGGTAAGCCTTTAATTAACATCTGTTAATATGTTTTGGTTGGTGCCACTTTAGCATGTGCTCTACCAGCTCAGCCCACATAATAGCAATGTGACTTCAACCTCTGCTTTGGCTTTATTCTCAGTGTATCCCTTTATTAAAGAATAAAGTGATTGAAAACGTAACACAATAAAATGCATTCGTCATCGGAACGCATTTAAGCACGGAAGCTGGTAAAGCTCACGCTAAAGGAGCACCCTTTGGTTTGCCTTTCCTGCTGAGAAAACATACACTATATGGACAATAGTATTGGGACAAACCTCTTATTCATCAAATTCAGATGTATCATTCAGACCCATTGCCACAGGTGTATAAAATCAAGCACCTTGGCAAGCTGTCAGGTTTACAAACATTTCTGAAAAAAACTGGTCGTTCTGAAGAGCTCAGTGAATTCAAGCATGATACCGTCATAGGATGCCACCTTTGCAATAAATCAGTTCGTGAAATTTCTTCCCTGTTAGATATTTCGTAGTCAACTGTAATTGGTATTGTTGCAAAGTGGAAGCATTTTGGAGCAACAGTAACTCAGCCACAAAGTGGCCGACTATGTGAAGTAACAGAGTGGGGTCGCTGAGTGCTGAGCTGCATAGTGCATGAAAGTTGCCAAAGCTCTATTGACTCAACTAGAGAGTTCCAAACTTCCTCTGGCATTAACCCCAACACAGAAACTGTGCCTGGGAGCTTCATGGAATGGGCTTCCATGGCCGAGCAGCTGCATGCAAGCCTCACATCACCAGGCGCAATGCCAAGAGTTGGATGGAGTGGTGTGAAGCACACTGCCACTGGACTCTGGAGCAGTGGAAACGTGTTCTGTGGAGTGACAAATCATGCTTCTCTCTCTGGCAGTCTGATGGATAAGTCTGGGTTTGGCAGATTCCAGGAGAACGTTACCTGCCTGACTGCATTGTGCCAACTTTATAGTTTGTTGAAGGAGGGATAATGGTATGGGGTTGTTTTTTAGGGATTGGGCTAGAGTCCTTAGTTCCAGTGAAGGAAACTCTTAATGCTTCAGCGTACCACAGCATTTTAGTCAATTCTATTCTTCCAACTTTGTGGGAAGAGTTTGGGAATTGTGCAGCAGTGTACAAAGCAAGGTCTATAAAGACATGGTTGGGTGAGTTTGGTGTGGAAGCCCTGACCTCAACCCCACCAACCAACCCAAACCTTTGGGGTGAACTAGAACAGAGATTGTGAGCCAGGCCTCCACATCCGACATCAGTGCCTGACCTCACAAATGCTCTTCTGGATGAATGGGCAAAAATTCCCACAGACACATTTCAAAATCTTGTGGACAGCCTTCCCAGAAGAGTGGCAGCTGTTATAGCAGCAAAGAGGGGACCAACTCCATATTGATGCCTAGGGGTTTCAATAGAATGTCATAAAAGTTCCTGTAGGTGTGATGGCCAGGTGTCCCAGTACTTTGTCCATATAGTGTATGTTGATGAATGAAGAACATGCTGCTAAAAATAATCTGGTTAATGCAAATCATGGTCTGTGGAATGTATATTAAAACTTACTACTTGCCTAAATTAGAATATCATATGAATAAATAAAGCCTAACACATACATAAGGTAAAATTAATAGCAGATAAATATCTTAAAATAAGTATTTTAAAAGAATTATAAATCTATGAATATTTTTATGTAAACTATATACAGCAAATTTGCATATTAGTTGTTTGTCATCATTTCCATTGTAATTTACAGTCTCAACATCGAGGCCGTCTGATGAAGAAAATTAAAAAAAAGAAGAAAGAAGAAAGATCTCAGGTACGAGCACCAATGCACATTTATAAGACTGTTTATCAAGGGGAAATGGCGTAGAATAAGTATTTATAAAGAATTATAATGAATATCATTTTATGTAAAAGTATGCTGAGGACCCAAGTGGCTGGACAAGGCCAAAGGGACTCCCATGTAACACCAGGCTGCAGCAGATGGATGGCCATTTCCGGAGGGTGGGACTGGACCGTGTGTCTGCCTGGGGGGTCACAAGCCAGGATCCCGAGAAGTTTCGCCCTGTGGTGGGTGTTGCAATGCACAGCATCAACGCATACTCCCCAACCTGACCTGACCTGACCTATGTACAACAAATTCGCACATTATATAAAAATGCACACACACAGTCGTGTAAACATATCTTTGTGGGGACCATTCATTCATTTCTATAATTGTTTGCCATCATTTCCGTTGTAATTTACAGCTTCAAAATCAAGTCCGACTGATGGAGAAAAGGAAAAAGAAGATCAAAGTAATGGACTTCATTGAGAAGAGGATGAAATCATATGACGTTTATCCTCAGGGTCTTTCGAAATATACAGGCTTCTTGCTGTTTGATTCTTATAGGCTAAGAAATGTACATTCCATTAAGGATTTTACTATCGAAGAAATTTTACAGCAGGAGGTTTTTACCTTTGAAGACATGAAGCTTGTTGCTTATGTCTGTCTTATGGGTAATTGGAAATACGAGAAGGATTTTGCTTTACTGCCATTGGATATGCGCAAACAATGTGCTAAGATACTTCCTTCTGCTATTTTAAGTAAATATGGACCTCCCTCCAAGATGGGAGGAATCTACAGTATTTGTCATCCTGATAGGGGGGGTGTTGATCCAAATTCTATTTTTGAAGAAAGAAAGTCTCTCGTTATATTTCCCAATGATTTTCAGTTGATGAATCGAGAATTGAGGTATATACCATGTTTGTTTACTAGGCCTTTGGGTTCCATAATCTTTGAGGAAAATTGCCGGTTCAAAAACAGAGCATCGTACTCTGCTGGCGTCCTTCGTTATGAATCTCATGGAAATATAACCAGGGTGACTGAATATAACGTTTCCACATTATTAGAGTATTTGTACAAAGAGAGGATTGAAATGAAACGTGAAAGAAAATATACAGTCTCCGTCACTAAAGATGATTGGCAAGGCTTTCTGCACCATGCTGCAGTTTGTTATATTTATGTTAAGGACCACTCGACAGCTACAGGCTTCTTGCTGTCTGATCGTTATATCCTAACAAATGCACATGTCATTAAGGATATTAGTAACAAAGGAATTTTAGAGCGGGAGGTTTCTGTCATGTTTACCTTTGAAGACATGAAGGGTGGAACATACTTCCTCCGTGTAAACGTAAAACCAGAAATTCCTGCTCACCGGTTTGAAGGTAATTGGCGACGCGGCCTGGATTTTGCTTTACTAGAGCTGGATCTGCAGGAGCATGAGATTCAGATACTACCTCCTGCTATTCTAAGTACATATGGACCTCCCTCAAAGACGGGAGGGATCTACATTATTGGACACCCTGGTGGAGGGGGAAAAACGAGTGAGTTATGTTACATTACTGAAGATCCCATGTATTTAGAGGATAGAATATTCAGGTATAAAACAAATTTCACAGAAGGGTCCTCGGGCTCCCTAATCTTTGGGGATCATTTTCAGTTACTAGGCATGCACACTGGTGGCGACAAATTAAGTGACGGAAGCGCAACTGGGTTCGGCATTCCCATGAAGATTATATTAGACAATTTGCTCCTGCAGTTGACAGAAAAAATAAACATGAACCTCTGTCAAAATCTATCCATGAAGCAACGATCGGTAAAACATTCGGCCATGACAACAATGGTATCCGCCATCAATATTGCAATGATATGTTATGAATTCCAAAAGCTGTATATCAGTCCTTGTGGTATAGGGCAAACATCCCAAGAAACAAGATCTCATGGAGGATGACACAATGATGAAAATTAACTAATTGACTGTGGGAAACCAGAAACCACTAACTAGAATTATTGTCATGTGCCTAGGCCATTTCGATAGTAATGTGGACAGTAACTTCGATAAATTTCGATAGTAACGTCCTTAATGACATGTGCACCTGTTTCAGGACCACCATGATTGTTCTGGTAACTGTCTTTCCCAACTGCATTTCTTAAGATTGAGTTTCTCGGTGTTTGTTGTAATAAAGCCCATGAAAAAAAATGACATCCAATATGCTGTATTGCTTTATTACATTAACATTAGTAATGCAAATAAATACTTAAACAATGTGTAATATTAATATATTTTAATGTATAAACATTAGTACAACAAAAATTGGCAACAAGTGATTTAAAAATCTGAAGTCTAATTTCAATCAATTAAAATGTACTTTAAACAGAACCGAAGTACATTAGGAACTCTACATGACCTACAGTTCATAAAAGGATCCAAGAAATAAAAGTTGTAACTCACTCAAACCTAGTAGACACATTAAGCAATAGTTTAGTTGTACACACCGATGTTAAATAAATGAAGGACTATCTATATTGCATGTAGGGTATTTCAAGTCTATTATATAGTATTTATTGTTATGGTAAATGTGACGTCTAGATATATTTGGATATAGTCAGGAATGACTGAATGAATGAAGGAATAAAACAAGCAAGTCTGGGTGACTAATCGTGCTAAAAAATACCTATAAAGCTGCATACGATAAAAAAGCATGGAGCATTTTGCAACTGTAATCGCATTATATGGTGTTTGGTGGATCACAAACACACAACTGTCCATTGTGTCAACACACACAGAAACACTGAGCAGCAAATCAACATTCACAATTTCTAGAGGGTGAGATGGATGTAATGAATGAATGTGTGCAACAGAGAGTTTCATAAATGGATTATAACTTTCTAACTCTGTAGATACTACCTGGTTTTTAGGAATTACTACAGCAAATATCATTGCTGTCAGGGCCGTGCAGAGATGTTTGAAGGGGCAGGTGCTCAAAGTTAAAAAGGGGCACATAGAACCAGGCTGAATAACAACAACCCACATTCATCAAGAATCTAATATGGAATCGCATCATACTATATCACTGTCATCGGGTGGGACAATGCAAAGCAAACGTAGCATATATGTTTTACCTGATGGGGCACAATGTTGCTGTTGAGGGGTTGCTGCTGCTCCTGCTGCTGATAGTGCTGGACGGCAGGGCTGTGTTGATCTGAGACTGTAGACATTAAAAAGTCCATAGGAGAGATGGTAGCTGATTAAACAAGTGTTGTGAGATAATAATAAAATGCAAAGATTGGTGACAGCGCTTGGAACCATAAGGCAACAGATTAAAACAACTGTGGGAAATAAACTGAAACCGGAATATTAGTAGGGCAAAAAACTTTTTAGTGAAATATAAGCCCTCCAGAAAGACAGGGAAAAGCCCTGTAACTTACTTTAAAATGAAATATGTTCCTTAAAACGGTGGACAGACCCATGACACACTTAACCAGTTAGCTAGCGGCTAATGACCACCACTACTTGTGCAGTTAATAAAAGAACAGCTAATGTTTTGTCACGCTGTTGCACACTGTGCATACAAAGCATGCTCATTTGTTTCATTTCGTCAGTTGCCACAAGACAACTTAACAATGTGTACATAATAACCTAATACTCCTGTGTGCTATAGACTATAGTGTACGCTGTACACCCTACTTACTGGTTTTTGTTGCATCAGTCTGCGTCTCCCAATTAATTTGTGTGTTTCCCCTACAGGCGGTGCGCCCAGCCGGCAAAAAATGCACATGCTTTTTGCGAGCTCGTTCCCGGCTAGTAACCAGCGCGCTCTGCCGTCAAGGGTGAGCATTGGTTAATGGTCATCATGTGACTGATGCAAGCCAGATCCTTTTATTTAGCAAAACTGTGATTAATAGTTAAATGTTATTGTTGAGGGGCACAGGCCCTCATATGCACACACACATTAAAAAATAATAATAAAATGCCTCAAGAAAAGGGCACTTGGGGTACCCAAGAGGAAAGGGGCAGGTGCTCAAGCCCCCTCCGCCACAACCTTTTTGAGGCCGACCGAAAGTCCTTCTTCATAATGTCACCAAATTCCACCCACGACCAAGTTTTTGCTTCAGCAACTGCCAGAGCCAGTTCCTGCTTTGTAACTCTTGTATGCCTTTGCGAATGATATAGTTTACGATAGCAAAATATACAATTAAAGTCAATTACATTGAGAGATGTACTTCATAGGACATGGGTTAGTCTCATTTAAAAGTCGTTTAGTAGCTCTATTGCATAAACTCTCCCCAGACACAGTACAGGATTTCTGACAGACTGAACTGTACAACAGAACAATGACATGACAATCCCAAATCAGACAGAACAACCAGAAATGGCAGTCAGACAAAAGAGTCTTGAGACAGACAACGACAAACAGAGTGACAGGGTCAAGGTTCAAAAAGACAAATTGTGAAACCTAAGAGACTGACTGAAGAAATGTAAGGTGGAATGTAAATATAACTAATGTAAGAAAGCAAAGAAAAAAAAATTGTAAGGGTGAATTTTGTGTTTTGTTAAAGTAGCAAGTAGTCAAACTGTTAAATTAGACTTATGTTACACTGTTTTACATTAACACAAGGAAGGATATCAATCTTGCAAAGAAAACAATAATCTTTGAGGTTTGTATAAGATGATCTTAATTTAAAAAAAAAAGACCCCCCGCGACCCAGTAGGATAAGCGGGTTGGACAATGGATGGATGGATGGAGATGTATTGATATCTAAATTGTTATGTGTAGTTTCACCACTAGTGGGCAGTGTGGCATTTGGATATAGCCTGGTTGAAGTAACATGTGTAATGGCGGTTGTCTTCAAGTAAAGGTTCCGACTGTGCAGCACTGGTGTATGTGTCTCGTCAATACGGTGAGGGGGGCCAGATCTTTGCTTTACGTGAGAGTGTTTGTTTTTCTATTTTTTTTTTTAACCACAGATCAACATCTGCAACCATCATTTCATTTTTAATTTTTTTGCCTCAACCAGCTCCCCTCCCAGAGAAATTAGAGACATTCACACAAATAGACAAGCAGGTAAACTAAGGGGAAAAAAAGGCATTATTTTAATTGGCTGTTGTTTTTTTCCATGAAAAATCAGTCATTTTAAGAGTCTTCAGTATCCTCAGGACACTCCCTCTCATTCTACATTCCAGGTTTCTCTCAGAACTATACAATATGAGGATAAAATTCATAAGTCTACTGAAAATCCACAGGTCATTGACTGTCACCGTCAGCCTGACGCAGTAGCGGAATTCTTTATCCAAAAAGTTTTAAGGCTCTGGACCTCCAGGCACATTGCTGACCTTGCAACAGTACCAGAGCAACACACACAGCCTTGAATGCTCTCACTCGATCAGGCTCCCCCATAGCCAGCACCATCACCGACATACACCGCCATGAGACTTTTCTTTGTCATGGATGATCTACATACCCACCACT